AAGTAAGTGTCCTAATTTCCACCAAAGTGCATAACACATGCGTGTAGCATGTCCTCGAGCATCTGAGTCGTCCGCTCGCTATGCCTATCCGTCTTTGGGTGATATGCAGTACTGAAATGCAATCGGGTACCCAAATCGTCATGAAATTTATTCTAGAACCTAGAAGTAAAACACACATCCCAATTTGACACTATTGATCTTGGCACCCCAAGCCATGCCACCACCTCTTGAACGTAGATCTCGGTCAATATCTCCTCAGAAGAGCTCTCACTTATAGCCAAAAAGTGAGCACTATTCGTCAACCAATCTACAATCACCCATATCGCATCAACACCTCGTGCGGTCCTCGATAATTTGGTAATAAAATCCATGGAAATCAGTTCACACTTCCACATGGGAATCTCTAAAGGTTGCACCTGGCCATGAGGATGCTGGTGCTCCGCCTTGACATGACAACAGGTCAAGCATCTCTCGACTACCCATGCCACATCTATCATCATACAGGGTCACCAATAATCCTTCTTTAAGTCCATATACATCTTGGTGGCCCTGGATGGATTGAGAATCTCGACCTATGGGTATCCTCCATCAAAATACATTGAGCTCCACCCGTATATGGCACCCATATCCGCCCTTAGAAGGTCATAAGCCCCTAACTATGACTCTCAAACTCATAAAATCTACTCGATCACTCGCTCTCTCTTATGGTTCTTCGGTCTCATGACCACCACCTGGGCTTCTCGGATGGTATCTAAGGCTGGAGTCATCACCGTCATCCTCAAGCAACGTCTCGGATTGGAGCACTGACTGCTCTACAACTCAGGGCATCGGCTACCACATTAGCCTTGTCAGGGTGATACAAAATCTCATAGTCATAGTCTTTCACTACATCCAACCATCTCCTATGTCTCATATTCAAGTTGGGCTGATCCATAAGGTACTTCAAGCTCTTATGGTCTGTGTATATGGTACACCGAACACCATAAAGATAGTGGTGCCAAATCTTGAGGGCGAACACCACCGCCTCCAACTCCAAATCGTGGGTGGGATACCTCGTCTCGTGAGGCTTTAGCTGCCTTGATGCATATGTTATCACGTGTACTCTCTACATCAACACGAAACCCATCCCTGATATGAACCCA